ATGAACAGTCAGACTAAAGGAGATTCCCTTGGGGGAGGAACCCAAAGGCACAATTCTGCTAAACATTTAAAATACTATTTATTGAAAAAAAAATCCAGGAAATGGAAACATGGTATTTGTTGGTGGTGGTCATACTTATTTTTATTGTCATTTTTAAGGCAGGGTAAGGAGATGCAGAAATGGAGGGAGTAAGGGTACACAAATGCAGTTGTGGTATTCAGTATATATTATGTAGAAAATGAACTAAGAAACATGTGGGAAACTGGGGGAAAGTGAAGGGGTGACATTGTTCAGAAAGAATTATACTCATTACCTAACTTATGAAATAACCCCTCTGTACCACACCTTGATAATAACAGTAACATTATATTTTGAAAGCTCTGTACGTATGTATGTATGTATGTATGTCTGTTAGGTCTTTTTGGTTTTGCAATTCAGGTATAGTCATTCTTAATTAAATTTAACTACTCACTGTTAAAATACACTGAAACTCCGTTCTACTTTTCCTATTTATCCCTCCCCCTTCAGCTCATTGTTCTCTATATTCAAGTGCTCTAAACATTGTGTACATGTACATATTTTTAATGGTTATGTCCTCTTGAAAACTGATTCCTTGATCATAAAGTAATGACCTTTATCTCTACTCTTTTTCAGTTACCATCTACATGGAATATCTTGTACTTTTTCACTTTCAGCCAGTGTGACTCTTTAAAACATACAAGGGTCTTTCAGTCAGTGAAAAAAGCTGACTCTTAGTTTATTTTTGTTTGTTTATAGAACTAGTCTTTTTACTTTAGTTTTTAACATTCAAGGTTATTAATGATGGGTAAGAAATTACTACTGCCATTTTGGTATGTGTGTGTGTGTGTTGTGGATTTGTCTTCGTGGGCTGGTTCTGAACTGAGATCCTCAGTTACTAGCTTTCTAAGTAAGTAGCTGGGATTATAGTCATAAACCACAGGTGCCTGGCTTTCTGATAGTTTTAAAGTCCCTTTTTCCTTCTTTCCTCCCTTCTCTCCTTCCATTTCTTTCTTTCTCTGTTGCTCTTTTTTAGCACTTTGACTTTTAACCTTTGTAGTAGTTATACCCTAACACACTACTTTATTTAAATGCATCTGACCTCTATGCTTTCACATGTATGCATGACAATAATTATTGTCCTTTTCTTTACACTTGAACGTCTGTAAGCATTTCCTATAATGCAGGTCTAGTGGTAATAAATTCAGCTTTTGTCTGAGACTTTTTCTCAATTTCTGAAAAATAGTTTTGCTTGGTATATTTGGCTGGTTTTTCTTTGAACACATTATCATCACATTCTCTGCAAGGTTTCTGTTGAGAAATCTGGTAGTCTTAATGGTAATTCTCTTATATGTGGCAGGATGCTTTCCTCTTGCTACTTTAAGTTTCTTACTTTTAAAGATAGTTTTGTTACAATGTGCCTCATGGAGGATGTGGGGGTTGACTGTTTGGAAGAATTTTGAGATCTTAATATGTCTCCCAAGATTTGGAATTTTTCGAGTTGATTTTTGCTGTTAAGCTCTAAACTGTATTTTTATTTAACTGACTTCTTCAGCTTCAATATTTGTTCTGTTCTACTTAATGACAGCAATGCTTGTGTTGAATTTTTCCTTCAGGTCATGAATTGCTTTTTTTTTTTTTGGTCAGTTGTGGGCCTGGGTACTGTTTTTCAGCTCAACATAAGCACTTTACCACTTGAGCCACAGAGCCACTTCTGGTTTTCTGGTGGTTAACTGGAGATAAGAGTCCCATGGACTTTCCTGCCTAGGCTGGCTTTGAACCACGATCCTCAGATCTTAGCCTCCTGAGTATCTAGGATTACAGGTGTGAGCGACCAGCACCTGGCTCATTCAATTTTCTTAACATCATTAGAGTTCTCTTCCTGGAACTTTGTAAGTTTGCATATCATTAGAATCTTACTGTTCCTCTGGGCTCCAGAGACTTACACCTGTAATCCTAGCTGAGATCAGAAAGAACATGTTTCAAGGTAAGACAAGGCAGAAAAGTTCTAAAGACTTCTCAACCAACTGCTGGGCATGGTGGTGCAGGCTTGTCATCTCAGTTGTGGGAGTCTGAAATTGGGAGGCCTGAGGTCCCATGCTATCCCATGTAGAAAAGTTCATCTCACAGAAAGAATCTGAAAATAACAGTTCACTCCTGTTATCTGAGCTATGATGGGAAGCCTAAAATAGGCAGATCACAAAAATAACTAGTGCAAAAAAATGGTCTAGAGTTGTGGCTCAGTGCTAGTGACTTTCTAGCAAAGGCAAAGGGAAATTTAAACTCTGGAACCACACACACACAGAGAAGAAAAAAAGTTTCTTTGGCATTTCTTTGCTTTTTAATGTTTCTTATGTTCCATTAAGAAGGAAAAAAAATTCACCTGCAGATGAGCCTAAGTATGTCAGTTAGGAAAGGGGTGGTGGTTCCGTTGTGTACAGCAGTTATGTCTGTGAAGCTTCTACAATTGTGGTCAATGTCAGTAATGACTGTGGGCACCTCCGTGGTCTAGGAGCTACAGTGCCTCTAGGTAACACTTTAGAGATCTTTTTGTCCTTGTTTTCCTCATAGGCGCAAGTCATAGTTGAGGGATGACTTTTGATGTTGGATCTGAACTTTTAGACAGCCACAGAGGCCCTGGGGTTGAGGGAATAGATGTCCAGAACAACTAGATGTAAAGTCAGGTTCCTGAACTCAGAATCTGTGAAAAATCCCAAACATCTGGGGCTGGAGTCCCAAGCCACTGAAAAGGCTAGATTTGTTGCCCTTAGGTACATACACTTCAGCAGCTTAGGCCCAATGCAGTGGGATGGAACCCTGTTTCTCACCTAAGAGGGCAGGAGACAGCACTGGCATAGCTTAGCTTCAAGGGAAAAAGGGTATTGCAGAAGGTTGAGATCTTTCTCACTTTTTGATATAGACATTTATTGCTGTAACAATCCTTCTTAGGAGATTTTGCTGAGTAAGTTCTGTATGTTGGGATACCATTCTTTCCTCAAGGTATTTTTTGTCTTTTTTATTACTTCTATTACCCATTGGTCAGTCAGAAGAATCTTGTTTAATTTCCGTGTATTCATACATCTTATAAATATGAGCTATTAACTTCTTCACAGATAATTCCATTTACTCTCCATTTGAATAAAATTCTAATAGTTAAAGCATGTACTTTTTCAAGTAAGTAATTAAAATGTATTTTTCAAGTAAAGCTTAAGATAGCTAACACATAAATTCTAGTGTCTTCTTCATATATGTAATTATACAAACAATTCACTTGTAAAATAATATGTTCAAGCAATATATTAGAAGTTAAAATAAATATGAAAGAACAACAGCTTTATCATGACAATTAGTAAACATTAAAATCCCTATTCAAGAGTTTCTCGTTATCTTTCCTAAAATATTCTCGCTATAGATATGGAAGCATTTGCTTCCCATCTCACTCCCATCTCACTCTTACAAACGCCATTTTTATTATTTTGCACTTAACAATATAACATCATTCCAAAAAGTTCATATATTTCCTGTTTATTTTTGTTTGTTTTTGTCAGTCCTGGGGCTTGAACTGAGGGCTGTCCCTGAGCTTCTTTTGCTCAAGGCTAGCCCTCTACCACTTGAGCCACAGCGCCACTTCCCACTTTTATGTGGTACTGAGGAATCAAATGCAGGGCTTCATGCATGCTGGGGAAGCACTCTACCACTAAGCCACATTCCAGGCCCTATCCTGTTGTTTTTAATAGCAATATACAATTCTATGAATTTCCATCCCTTTTTTAATAGACATTTAAATTATCTCAACTTATTAACTTGTAGAAAGAATTCTGCAGTAAATCTTTGTTATTGGTTTCTGCATACAACTTTAGGCTCTTAGAAGAAAAGTCGATTTTTTTTTCTTTAGAATTAAATAAAGCATGTATTTAACATTTGAAAAAGGACTGCCAATGTGTTCTCAAAACCAAAATTGTACACATTTGTACTCTGATGCATTTTCTTGAGATAAATGTGCTTTTTGGTTGGATTTACAAAGTCCAACTGTGCACAATGTAACTTTTGAAAGATCAAAGGACAGATTAACAATGGAAAGAAATTATCTGCCATTAGTCACCCATATTTCTTGTAACAATGATAATCAATAGTATGATTTCTGCAGACAGACATGGGTGACATGGATTGAATTTTGGACCTGTGTCAGTTTTTAAGTATTTTAACCCTTGAGTTGTTCTTTTTGCAAAAATGAAGGAAAATAATAGTTCCTACTTTATAAGAGTTATGAGGATTAGTATTCAAAGTGTTTAGCAAAAGATCCTAACAATAGCATGTGCTTCCCTATTAATCATTTACTTCATATGGTTTGAACAAGAACACATTTACTTATAGTTTCGAAGTATAGTTTCAAAATACCCCAAAATGATCTAAATTTTATTTTGTCTGAATCAATTCTAAGAATAAAAAAAAAAAAATCTTTAGAGTTGAGCATGGTGGTGAACACTTGCAATTCCAAAATTTGAATAAGGTAGAAGGTTCATGGATTCAAGGCCAGCCTGGGCTATTATAGCAAGAAGACAAAATTCACTGAAACCTCACATTACCATGAAGAAATTAGAATGGAACATAATTCGACCAGTTGACAAAACCTTTGAAAATGCAAAGTTGTAAAACTTAAAAGAGAAAGTTAACAATATGGAGATTTAGTTTTAGGTTAATCAGATTTAATATGACAGAACAAAAGACTTTCTAAGGTTTTAAGCAGTATTTTAACAATGAGGGCTGATAGTTTATAAACAATTTTAAGTTAGGGATGGCTGAAAAAGCAAGCATCAAATATCAAGGCTGAAGCTGATTTCAGTACAAAGCTGACTTTAAGTACAAAGAGTTCCTAGAGGTATGATCACCTCAAATCTTCTCTATATATAGGAAATTTTAACATGTTCAATTTGAGACATCAAAAAAAAAAACATTTAAAATAGAAACGGTACAATGTATCCGAGGTTTGAAGGTCAAATTTATTAGGAGATTAAGAGATGTATTATACATGAACTATAAATACTGCACAGCTGACTTTATTCACAGTCAAGCTAAGATAATAGTCAGTGCCAACCTATTTTGTGGACACTCTGGTTCTTTTGTTCCAAGAAAAGTTTGCACCATAAGACTTGGACTTGGGTTTTGGAACCTTCTTCTCTTCCACGTCATAGCTCCATCCTAGATGGGGGAAAAGAAAAAAAAACCAAACAAATGAACAAACAAAAACCAAATCCGAAGAAACAGAATTAATGCAGATACTTTAAAAATACAGAAATTAAGAGGCTTTATAATTTAATGTTTATTTATCAATAAGAGTAACTGTTACCACATCTGAAATATAAATACTTAGTAATTTGTTCCCTTAAAACTCTGAGTGGCAAGAGTCCATTGCCCGAAGATGATTTATCATATCTCAAATTAAAGATAAAACTATGATTTAATGTTTCCTAAGTCAATATTCTTTGCTCTGTTAGTGATGACTATATATTATTCAAAACTTAGATTTCTCTGTGACTTAACAAGTCTTTAAAAACTATAATAAGAAAAACTAGACACTATAATGTATCTCACTGTTCTTCTAAAATCTGCTTTCTTTACAAATAGCTTGGAACTCATTTGAAATCGGAAGAAAAACACAAATCATAGCTGGACTCAGTCATGAGAAATTACCACATTCAATCTCTTTACTGACGAAATTTCCAGAAGGTTCAACAGTTGCTTCAGGGACCATCTTATTAGGTAGAATCATGAAAAGTACTCCGTATCAGTGCCAACTCTTAGACCTGATCAAAAGCCCACTGTGTGATCAGAATCTCTGGTGGGTAGCTAAACTAATCTTAAAAAGTTTAATTGCAGAAGCTTCACTTGTTATGCACAGAAAAGCTTCACTTTTTATGCACAGAAAATTTTAAGCTACTAGTCAAAACTGTCTATTCTTTTCTGAGAATTTTTAATCGTCTCTACAACCTTTTCAGTATTTTATAATTCTGAAAACTGGATTTATATATGTCTACCTTCTGGTTTAAGTCCTGTTCTTCAGTTCTCGTAAGATAAAGGTAAAAACTAAATCAACATCCCCTTTCTTGAAAGGAGTTAAGCAACACCTGAAACTTAATCTTCTAATATCCATTTTCCTAGTAGTGTAATTTATCACATGCTTTTCTCTCAGGATTTTTCAAATAATCATCTTGAGAAATAGTAATCCTATATAAAATATCCAAACTGAGCTTTATATTGTCAAGAATAAGTGAGCTTTGGATCTTAGAAGTTCGAAAGAATTTTAGTGATTCTTTATGAGTATAGTGCCTGCTGCCACGAAGCTTATATATCGACAGTTCCTCACCTGGAATTAATTAGATTTTGTTATAAAAGTAAAACCTACAAAACTCAAATCATCAAAGCATACTACTGTGATTTTTCCAAAAAAGGAAAATCATGAAACAAAGGAGGAGGCAACAATGCTTGATAAGAAATCTACCTTGCTCATGTAATTGTAACCCCTCTGTATGGTATTTTCACAATTTAAAAAAAAAAAAGGAAAATCATCACATTTAACTCAAGTTAATCGTACATTCCCACTGCTGAACACTGTGCCTTGAGGAACATATATATCTATATCTATATATGTATGTATATATATATATATATATTTAATATATATACTAGTCTCACTTTACATGAATATAGAGGTTACAGAACTCCCAGGCAACTTTGGCTAAAAGGACAAAATAAAGAATAAGAACACTTGAAAAGACATCAAATATGTACTTAATGAGGGGCAAGTTACATTAATGACACTAATCTTTTCTATTTCCCATTTGAAATCTGACCCTAAACAGGAAAAATGTAATATATTTATTTCTATACTCTATGCTTAGAGTATAGAAATGTAGGAATGAAACTGCAAAATGTCTACATTTCTATGTAAGAGTATCTTTCAATTCCAACAATCTTTTTTTTTTTTTTAAAGAAATAACCCAAACTTGTGTTCTGAAATGAGGTCTTGGGAGTTGTCCTCTGTGAAGAATGTATATATAAAGGTGTAGTCTACGACAATGGTCCCATATGTTGTCTTACAAGGATACTCAAAACTGGCCCGTGTTCTTCCTAGCTGTGCAGCAGAAGATCAAAGCAACTAAGTCCAAGGCAGCTGCCCCAGAGATGGGATAAAGCTCCTAGGACTGCCATCATTTCCCACTGTGGAGAATAGCCATATGGCATGGATTAGCCACAAATCCAACCACTAACACCTAAATGACAAGAAGCTGACTTGCTTTGCTGTTTCACACATTGGAATGCTTTCACAAAAATATTTTGAACTTTAAGCTCTAGTGTTAGAGAAGTACATCTGGTAAATTCTTTCAGCAAACTTAAAATGTGATCTGTAATATTCAATGCCCTCCCTCCCCACCAGAATTATGTTAGTTTGTTTTATAGATCTCTATACTGTGCTTGGAATATTCTATTTCCTATTATTTTCTTCTGTGTAATCTTTCAAACACCAAAAATGACTCCAAACAAAATCAGACCACAATAAGTAACCTATAACTTCTCTGGAGACAGAAAAAGAAATCCCACTTATTTTTATTTATAGAATCATTTCACTTATGGATCGGTAGTGAAGAATACAAGGTGACACTCATCAGTTCTTGTATTGCTTCTGGTAACCTAATTCTGTTCCTGTGAAAGGTCCTTCTTCATTAATGGTATGATCACAAATCTTGATGCGCACAGTTAATAATTTGTAAGTACCACACAATATGAACAAACCAGCATAAATGGAATTGACTGCTAACCAACACATGAATCAGAATAGCTAAGTTTGGGGAAGCTAAAGTAAGTTCATAGGTACTTGGAATGTTTCAATTCTTCACCAGATTGTGTACTGATGTCATACTTAGCTGAAAGCAAACTGTAACCCTAACTTATAATTTAACATCAGGAAAGAAACAATAACAGCTTTTTCAAAAACTTCACAGTAAAAGTCCTTCCACTTTGAAATTGCTCAGTACATAATATGGGGGTTGGAGGACAGAAAGTTAGGAATAAAGGCACTATTTCTTTCAGAAAATAGTACAGAATGTGTGCAATATGATTTCTGAAATGTTGACAAAACAATTCTATCCATAAAAATTAGATATGATTCCAACAAACAAATAAGGTGAAAACATGGGACACTTGAAATACTCATTAGTTTAAGTGTCTACACTTGCTATAGATATGACACCTTGAAAAAAACCTCAAACACATTGGATGTGATCATTAATTTAAATCCCTTTAGATTTTATCTTTACAAATAATAATATATCTCTTCAAATACTAGTATCTTTTCATATATTATTACATACAAAGCTGTAATTGGAACCACACTATTCAAAATTTGTAACGAAAAAAATTGGGATATTAATTAATTATTGTAGCTTTTAGGTTGTCAGAATATATTTTGTCCCCTGGGCAAAAAACTGCACACAATCAAAAGTCATTCCCAAAGATTTTGATACTATTCATTGGAGTATAAACTATATATAGGGATTTCCTGAATTCTATTTAACTCATAATATACAAGAAACTACACTAAGTTACTATGTATAATTCTACCTTTATGAGAAAAAATTATTTCAGAGTTCTAACAGGAGACCTAACGAATAACCCCTTTTCTTCCCTCCTTCTCTGTCCTCTGTCCTTCTACACTCTAGGACAAGGGATTGGAAAGAAAGCTAGGGAGAAAAAAGTCTTTATAAATTGTAGGTATTCACAAATCCTCACTTGTCAATTTAATTACTCATTAAAATTTATTTGTAACCCCAAAATTAATACCCGTGATACTTCTGTGGTTATTTATGACATGCACAGAATGGAAAACAATTGAGTTGCCCAACATGCACATTTCTAGCTGAGGTCAAGCAAGGTAATGCTCTGCCTTGTTGAAGCTCTCACACTGTAAACAAGTGCACTTTTCAAGGTCTATTTAGAGGTGCATTTTTGTTTTGTTTGCTTCTTGATGATTTCATCATTTACAATGGCCCCTAAGCACAGTGCGAGAAGGCTGATGTGACAATACAGTATTTATAAAGTAAACTGTCTTTACACCAAAGTATATAAAACACATTGTACTGAAAGAATGTGTAGAGGCTTGAAGAAATCCAGCTTGTCATTTTCCTCGAAGTAACTGTTCTGTTATTTGCTAGTATAGTGTTCCTAGTGACTTTATAGAACACAATTGTCATGAAAAAGGTGAATGGCTATAACTAGCAGATATACTAATTCTGTCCTATCAAACTGATAGAACTGACTCTTCCCCTACACTCCTTGTAAACTCAGTTTTGCTTCCATTAGTAATTTAGTTCCACATCTCTTTTCTTCATATACCTTTGTGTTATCTTGACTAATGGTTTGAACTGTTTAAAAAAACATCTGCTTAGCTCCTTTGTGTCACATGAGCAAAATAAGTTCTTCAAAACATGTTCATTTTATAAGTTAAGTCATGTTCATATTTTTTCTGGACATTTTTCTCTCAACAGTTTTGGAGGTGTTCATGGGATATCTAATATAAACTCACTAACCAAAGGCAGGCAAACTTTTCTACCACAGAGAGAGTAGATCTACATGTAAGCTCAAACATATCTTTTCTGGTTGCAAGAAATAAATCCAAAACATCAAGAGAACATTGCTGATTCTGTTTTTCTAATTTTAATTTTATTACTTATTTTGAGAACTCATAATCTGACCACTGATGATTCTAATAAACAGCACAGTAGCTTACAGGGTTCTTATTCTCTACTCCATGAGAACAAATGATTCTGGTTTATAAGTCTTTTCCATTTTGAATTCAAAATTAAGAATTTGTACTCAATGAAAAGACAACCTTTTTGCCATGAACCATTAAGTTTCACAATTCTGTGTTTATTAACCTACGGCTGAAAGTCTAGAATTGAAGTTATAAACTGTGTGACTGTACATCATCAACATGTCTATAATTCAGAAAAACCTTTACTACTTTCATTGTGTGCAAAGGTTAGCATTTTTCTACCTCTGGATAGCACTAATAAATTAAATTATAAAGTGTCTCCTTAAAGAAGTCTATTCTGATCTGCTCATAGGAAAAAAGGCTACCATGTAAATGGAATAACCTTAAAATTCTCAGAAAACAAGGAAACTGAATTTCTAATATACATATT